CCCATTGATTTTCCTGATCCATGATCACCAGTTTCTCCACGGGAGTGAAGTTAGTCCGAGAGTATTTGCCAAAGTGCTTGGTTCTCAAAGTAATAAGCGCCCTTTTGCATTGGTTTAATTTAAAAATTATGAAAAGCGTTTCATCCTGTTATTTAAGAGGGAAGTCTTTGCAGGTAAACTTCTTGAACCGTTTTTAAGAATTCCCCTTGTGGGGAGTGATTTGGGGGTGTGATTTTAGCGTTTCGGTCAAATGCACATCTTTGTAGAGGTTTGAGCTTTTAAGACTCAGGCACAATTCTCTAATCTTGGACAGGTCACCTCATCTCTTGTACCCTTGGCATTTTATCAAATGAGGGTTGTGGACTAGATTCTCCAGTTCCTTTCAGTTCATAACGTTCTATCTCCTGTCTCCTTTAATTTTCAGTGGCAACTCGATGCTGTCAATTCACTTTCAAATGTCAGTTGGGTTCCTTGCCAGTCAAAAGAGATCTAAGCTCTAATCTAAGACCAAACTTTTAGCAAAGTTGAGCACGAAAGGCGCTTTCAGCCTGAGGGAGAGGGGATCGTTGATGTCTTTGAGTATTTTCAAGTGTAAACTTGCACTAACTCTAGCAGTTTCTGGTACATTTTCAGCAAGATGTGTGTGGTGTTTTTTGTTTTGTTATTTTTAGAAACAGGGCCGCTCTCTGTTGAGCAGGCTGGAGTGCTGTGGTGCTGCAATCAGAGTGGATGAAACTATAGGCACACAACACCATGCCTGGCTAGTTTAGTGTGTGGGTTTTTTTTTTGTCTGGCCTCAGCAAGATGTGTTTTAAAATTTAGTATCTTACCGGATGCGGTGGCTCACACCTGCAATCCCAGCGCTTTGGGAGGCCAGGACGGGAGGATCACCTGAAGTCAGGAGTTCGAGACCAGCATGACCAACGTGGTGAAAACCAGTCTCTACTAAAAATACAAAATTAGCTGGGCATGGTGACGCATGCCTGTAATCCCAGCTACTCGGGAGGCTGAGGCAGGAGAATCACTTGAACCTGGGAGGTGGAGGTTGCAGTGAACCAAGATAGTGCCATTACACTCCAGCCTGGGCAACAAGAGCGAAATTCTGTCTCAAAATATATATGTATATACATATTTTTAGTATCTATCTATTTATCTATATATATATATTTAGTATCTTGACTTAACATTCCTAAGCTTGCATTCATTCAGT